CCGAACCACCAAAATTTGTATGACTCGAACAATTCGCAACACTCATCGAGCAATCACAGTGCACAACATTCGCAGAGTCCAGAGAACACATCAAATATTCGTGGAATTCCCTCAAGACTAATAAATCAAGTGAAAAGGTTTCTTGATGGCCCCTTGGAAGAGGGAAAAAATCGAGAATAAATTGTACTGAAAACCACTTTTGTTTGAAAAGAAATTAAAATAAAACTGGGCCGCTGAAACTTTATCGCGGTGTTGGCAAAAGAGAAACTTGAAAACGTTTACCGAATAAAGCGAATTTAAGTTCAATTGAACCAGTAAAAGTAACTTGCTTGTTTTAATCACCACTGGAAGAGTCGTCAATATAAATATCCGCAATAGCGTTTCAAAATGCCTTTTCTTTCGTACAACGTGTTTAAGTTCCGCTTTTGCAGACATGTAGATATAGTCTAGGATTATTCTCTGCGGTTCAATTATTCACGATATCAATAAATCAAATAAAAAAATGTAATGCATCAGTACTAGTAGTATTATTTTGAGTCAATGATCTTCGGTCAACTAACTGACTACATCTATTGGAACATGATAATAAGGGATGATTGATTGACTATAGTCTTATAAGAGCCAACATCTTCTTGATTGTTCTGGTTTAATTAAATATTCTTTATTATTTTCATTCACATTCCATTCGCTCAATAGTTGAGTCAATATTCCGTTTTAATAAGATTATAGTTAACCAAACTCCTTTATTCAAAGTCCTGGAACTGAAAAGAATTACAACATCTCATTGTTGCAGAACATTGGCAGATCGGTCCTACTACTCCCTGGTGCATGATTTTGAATTTATTTACAGTTTATCAACAAAATCGATTTACAAGGTTTCTCTTCGACAGATTAATTCTTTATCATGGCCTCGCTTTTCTATGTTCCTTCGGATACAAAATCGAAACCACAAGGATTTTTCTTCGCTTTGACGTCAGAGACAAACTGAGGTTTCTTTTAAATAATTCATTTGTTAATATTTCCATTCGGTGAATTTGAAAACATTCATTCGACGAATTTGGTTCAAATCCTTTGACGCACTAGAAAGACAAACACAACCGGTGATAAAAACGAAACAGATGTTGAACGCTTACAAACGAAAAATAGTCTCGGAAATTCAGTTTGATAGGATTTTTCGTATGCTGATGGACATTAGTAGTGATGTCCGATAATGTTTATTTGATAAGAGCAATGTGAATGGAATAATTCAAACTGCAAAAAAAAAACAAACTGCAGTATGTTTGTCAATTGAATGATATAATCAAAGCTCGTGTTCGGTTTTATATTTGGACAACTGCAATATTGTCATTTTTATCGAAATGAATTCCATTCGTATAAATATGGATCGACAACTATTAAAGCGATAAAATGCTATATTTGCATATGAATAGAAATTTGGTTATAAATACTTTATCGTTTTGAAGATTTTAGTGATAATTCAACCTGACAATCCCATTATGAATGTATCAATAGCGTAGCTGCTGTTGATCTCATATCCCGAGCGGTACACATCTGAGCTTATAAAACCATTTGCTTTTATGAACATTTTAAAATGCTTTTATAGGTGAATTTCGAAAATAATTAAAGTTTCAGTTTTTATAACGCATTCTATAACAACTTTTATAATTCAGCTTATAAAAGTACTTTTATAACACTTTTTAAACACTTTTATTATATCATTTATAACATATAAGTGTCTGAGGTGAAGTTTTTTTCAACCCTTTTATAACACTTTTATAAATGAAAATCAGACTTCTAAAGCACTTTTATAAGCCCACTCATACAAGTGATTTAGAGTAACATTTATATTGAATTAAAAAAGTGTTATGAAAGTTCCTGCATACCAACTTTTATAAACCACTATAAAAGTGTGTTCACAGCCTTATAAAAGATATCATTTGGTAGTTATAAAAGTTTTTACTTTTATAAGGTACTTTTATTACGCTTTTATACACCCTTATAAACCCGTTTTAGTCCAGCCTTTTTGCGCCTATGTATTTGGCTTTTATAGTGCTGTAAAAAAGCGTTATAAAAGACTTTTCTAAGGTGTCGACAATTTTTATGACACTAGTAACAAGCGTTATGAAAACTGTTGTGCCGCTCGGGATTCATTTTTAAAATACGTTTTCAAGTCAAAAAGTAAAAGCCAACCACAAGCTTTGCAATTATATCGTTTAATCAATCACATACTTCATTGCTCGCACAATGTTCAAATCAAGCGAAATAATCTCGTTGATAATTTATTCAATTCGCCATCATTATTGTATTTGTTCTTTATTATCGCCAATAAAGTTTCCGTGTTCGGTTTTTTTTTTCATGAAACAAAAATAAACAGAGTCTTTAGTATAAATTGATTGCAATTTGCAATGACGACAGTATACTTAGATTATAGACCATTTAACATTTTAGTTTAGTGGTTGAATCAAAATGAAGTATTCGCTGTCGCTCGTGGTGTTCGTTGCCTTTTATTCTACGACCAAAGCTATTGACTTCGGAGGTCTTGGCCAATCAGTTGTAGATATATCGAGAGGGTTGGCCGAGAGCATACCGGGCTCTATTATAAATCCGAAGGATCTTTTTGAATGTGGTAAAAATATCATCGCCGGATATCCATTCAATCAAGTGAGTTGAAATATTTTTTTGATATATTTGTTGGTCAATCTTCTTGAAAAATACTCTCTTTTTAAAGGTTTTTTCAGTGCTCAACACATTCTGTAAGTGAATGCATACAATAATTCTACTAATTAATTTCTTACGCAAACCCATCTGACTCTCTTTATCTTCGTATGATTGACACTCCAGGCTCAGCAGCTCTAACAACACAAAATGTTAAGCCAAACATAACGCCATATGTTGAAAGCATGAATTTCGTGTTGAGAATCAAAAATCAGAGCATCTCAGTGCCACTGAATAAACCAGAACAACTGTGGCTGTTGCCTGAATTCAATAGCTCACGTCCACTCGTTATGATGATTACGGGATGGTCGACAAATTTCAATAAATCCGCAAGTTCTACTCTGGAAAAGGTGTACGAAGCTTATAAATGCAGGGGAGGGTACAATTTTGTGGTAAGCCTTATGTTCCTTTTAATTCGCCAAGAATTTTTTTTTGGATTTGACTCAAGATTGATTTTAATTTTCTTAAGTTGCTAATGACTTTCTCTTGTTTTCATGTTATACCTCAATATCAGGCATTTGACTCAGGTAAGCTGTGCTCTAAATTGAACTTAATTAAAATGCGTGCAGCTTAAACTGACAGGCCTCTTTGCATTATCCATAAAATCAAGCTGCCTTTATCGATACATTGTATACATGGAGTGCATTCAACACCGAAGAAATTGGAAATCTTATTGCTGATGCGTTGGAAGTACTAATTCAAAATTATCCCATTGAGAAAATTCATCTTTTAGGTCACAGCTTGGGCGCCCATAGTACGTTGATGAATAAACATATTTACATTTCACTCGGAATAACAAATTATTTGCAATCTATTAAATTATTGAAATTATTCTTCAGTTTCTGGTTCGGCTGGTCGAAATTTGTTTGAAAAAACAGGTAAACTTATTCCGAGAATAACAGGCTTAGACCCAGCTAGTAAGTAAATACCTATTTTCTTCCATTTATTTGGCATTTAAATTGCTGTGAAATTGTGATTAATGATCGGTTTTCAGATCCTTGTTTTAATTCTGGAGAGGCTTTGACTGGCCTTGGCCGTGGCGATGCTGAATTTGTCGACGTCATTCATTCGAATAGTGGTGGCTTAGGAAAACGTGATCCATTAGGTAAAATGAAACTTTGTTGCAAAGCATCAAATCGCATCATCACCGATTGTTTTTCCCTGACCGTAGAGCAGGGATTAGTGATTATTACAAACCGGTGAAGATTATCTATGTAAATCCATGGTGTGTGTTTTCTGTTGTTTGCACAACTTATTCGCTACCCATTACATTAGTAAAAATTGAACTGGGCAACAAAACTCATGCAACTATGCTCCATTCGGTGCTTACAACAATGTATAATCAAGCAAACCGACACTATTAGCTTAATTGAAACTGATTCCAAAGCTTAATTTTGGTCCATTTTCAAAATACGCATTGCTTTGTGCACAGTTGCTCTCATAACACTTAGCCTTAATGTTCGAATGATGATGATTCAAGGAAAGACATCCAATGAAACACGCCAAATGATCATGTTTACATGCTCCTCGTTAAAGCTCACTTTTAAACACTTTCATTACATGTGCTAATTTCAGGCGATTCTGATTGGTATCCCAATGGAGTGAACCCGTTGCCACCAGGTTGTTTTGATATTGTGTGTGCACACACACGTGCACCTGAATTCTATGCGGAATCCGTGTATCCGGGCAATGAAAACAACTTTCTCGGAGTAAAATGTGGTTCATTGCATGCTTTAAACACGGACAGTTGCCGAGGAAAACAGTATCCCATGGGCTATGCAACACCGCATAACTTAAAAGGAAATTACTTTTTGAAAACCAACGGCAAAAGTCCCTATGGATTGAATGCAGTAAAAGGATTTACACCGGTTTGTAATGAGTAAAGTGGCCATTGTTGTGTATTTAAAATACGAATAAAGTTACTTATTTTGCTGTTGACATTGGCGAATTTCATTCAAAAACGATAAACTTCATTGAATGCGCAAAAAGAATGAAGAAAAAAATGCGATGTGATAATGCATATGCCATGTGAGATGCGTATAAATAATATTCAGTATTCAGTGATTTGATCATGAAATGTGGAGCAAAACATCAATAAATCTTTGTTACATGAACTTGCAACCTTTAGAAATTGCAACAAGTCACACGCATCGGTTTTTCAAGTGAATCTCATTCATCAACACGTTTGAATGAGAACGAATTGATTATTCTCATTCTCTCCCTCAAAGCCAAAATGGTTTGTGCTTTCGATACGCTTAGTTCCGTTGACTTTCGCCAGAGTGCCTCACCCGCAAAAGCGAAATGTTATCTCGTTTACAGTTTTACTTTCGTCAAAATATTTGATTCAACTGAACTGAAATATTCAATTCAAACCGAATTGCATTTGAAAGTTTCGAATCGAAACCGATTTATTGAGATAGAACTTCTTTGACGAGTTTTAAAGACATATGACGTCTTTATTTATATTTATTTCAGTGATTTAATTTTACAGGTCGTTGCGTTTATTTAATTTATTTTATGCATAACAGGTTTCTAATGCATGACATTCAAACAGATATACATTCCGATTCAACGGTTTTTTGTCATAGAATACAGCTGATGAGAGAGCAAAAATAACTTTCATTCCGATCAAAAGATTATCTTTCTGATACACTTTTTTTGTCATGTGTGTTTTTTGTTTTGTTTTGATTCTGAACTTTTCCACTGGGACATTCACTATGGAACTATACGACGATGTGAACCTTTTGTTCGAACGAGCAAATATTTGATTCCAAAAGTGTAAAGGTAGAGCAAAAGCGATTTTATGTCAGAGCACGTGTGTGATAAATAACTTAACTGTTCTCCAGTGTTGACTTAATGCTGTTAACTAGTTTTGGAATAACACACAGCATAACACATGCAGAATGCGTATCGGAATTCTTGCCTGGTTGCCTGGCTAAAGTTCGAGAAGAACGGGAGACACACACACACACACACACACACACAATCACAGCAAAAGCATTAGTAACTCAATTATCGGATAATTAGTGAAAATAGAAGTGTAAAATGTCATATTGAAGAAGTTGACTATAAAAGCAAACGGTTATCAGATGTGAATTGTTAGTTTAGTGTAACGGCACAGATTGAAGTGTTTTTGTCGTGTTGTCACATCGAACACGTAATTGGTGCCGACAGCAGTGAGATTTGTCATTCGTATTGTGAAGGTAATGGTTTGAATTTAGTTTTCTAACTGACTCTGAACAAGCCGAAACAACAATAAAACTTTGTTCTACAACTACTTCGATTTTGGATAAACAAAACCGATGTTAGTTTTGATGGAAACCGGTTTTATGGTGTAAATGTAAGATTCATTGTTGTTGTTTTTTTACGCATTTTGTCCGAGATGGGAATTTGTTGGTCTATTCGGTGTTGGTCTTTACGTAAAGTGGAATTCCTATTGACATCACATCAAAGTGTTGTTTTTGGACAAGAAAAACGATATATAGATCGATCAGAACACACCAACGTTGTCATTCGGCTTGTTCTATTCACACCGAACGAAAGCGATTTTAATCCAATTTTCATAAAATCTCCCACAGTTTTCTGAGCTTAGACACGTTTGTGTGGTTTCGAAACAGCAGAAAACTAAAATGAAATTTCAAAATTGTCAGCTAATTGTTTGTTTGGCGGTGTGTGTGATTGTGAGTGCAACCGTTGTAAGTGGTGCATTTGAGGAGGATGCTTTATCTCTGGAACGTGACAGTGGTCGTTCAATAGAATCGACGGAAATGCCGGCTCACCGAGGATTAATCAGTAAAATGATTGAGCGTGGAAAATTGCTGATAAAATCGTTGCCGAGGACATTCAAGTTGGCTGGTCGTGTGTTCAATTTGGTGCCAAAGCCCGAAAGTATATTCAACATTGGCAAGCAGGCTTTAATCGGTTTGCCACAGGAAGCGATTGCGTATGCTGTGAATTCAGTGTGTGAGTGGATAGAAAATGGAGTAGTGATAAGGGACACACTTTTAATTGAAGCCGCACAACACAACACACAACTTAACACCATACTCAATTGATTTATAATTGCAGGCAGTGCAGCCATCCACTTGAATGTGATCAAACCATCGATTACGCCGAGCGTTCACTTGATGAATTTTCAATTTTACACGCCTCATGGTGACACTTTTCGCATTCCATTGCTTGAACCGCATAAACTGTGGAACAATTCAAAGTTTAATCGAGAATGGAACACCACACTGGTTATAACCGGATGGAATACGAACGTCAACTCAACGAATGAAGCTGTGGAAACGTTATATCGAGCATATAGGCAACGAAAAATCAATTTTATCGTGAGTAAACTTCTGACCATCGTTTGTCTTTATCCTTTGAGCTTCAATTTTTGAACTGGGATTTTCATTTTTGACACTTTTCCAATGATAAATCATTAGGTGTTCGACACATCCAATTTCATCGACACTCTGTACACTTGGAGCGCATTCAACACAGAGGGCGTGGGAAAAATCGTTGGTGCGGCCATTGCTGAGCTGAACAAAGTCGTCGATGTGAAAGGAATTCATTTAATCGGTAAACCATCGCACAAAATGCTTTAATAAAATTGATTACACACAAATAACCACACGAAATTTTATTAAATTTTCAAACCAATTTTTCTACTGCAGGCCACTCATTGGGTGCTCACAGTGAGTATCTATATTTCATTTAAAACATTTACATCAGAATAGGAAAAAAGAACCAGAAAAATTATTATGAATAATATTTTGTTTTTTCTGCTCGTAAATTAGTTGCTGGAATTGCGGGACGGCAATTCACACGCTTAACCAATAAATTAATACCACGTGTAACGGGCCTAGATCCAGCTCGGTAAATCACGGAAATTTATTTATTCATTTATTGAAAATACTTGTGAGATTAATTTGATTTTGTTTTCCTTTCTGGTGGTTTTAGTCCATGTTTTAGTGAAGGCGAACGCTTGAATGGACTACAACGTGGTGATGCTTCGTTCGTTGACATTATCCATACAAATCCGGGCATTTTGGGAATTAAAGAGTCCAGAGGCGACATAGATTTTTATCCAAATGGGTATATTTACCAAACACTTACAATTCAATTATTTATTTCAATTTCGAAACAAACAAAACTTGATCGACATTTTATCTCTCCCTTCGGTCAGACAATATTCACTGCAGCCAGGATGTTGGACGATAATGTGCGCACATAGTCGTGCTTATGAATATTTTGCGGAGACTGTGTACAAGAACAATGGCAACAACTTCATTGGAACACAGTGCAATTCATTATCGGCGCTGCGGGATGGAAAATGTGCAATCAAACACATTCCAATGGGAATCGATACGCCATCAACGGCACGCGGCAATTACTATTTGGAAACAAACAAAAAGACACCGTACGGTCGTACCTTTACGAAATATGCAAACGTGCAACAGTTGGCACAAATCATCCAGAAACTTGACCGATTGAGACGCGAGTAGCACAATTGTTGCTGGTAGTTGTAACATTGAACTTGTGATGTTATTTATTCTATATTCGATTTAATAAACATAAATTAATGGAAAGAAAAAGAAAAAAAATGTGGCAATCATTAACATTTTTGTTGTAGGTAAGGTATGCGCGAGTACGCTCGCGCGCATACACACAAACACATGCACGGATCTAATGAATTAATGATAACGTTGTTCATGTTTTTTTTTTTGCAACGTTTATTTTGCGGCGATGAGTGATGATATTGCACGCAATGTTACTGTATTTACGGCTAAATATTTAGCAAACCGAATTGGAGGGGGCTTTTTTTACACTGACTCAACGACTTGATTACATCAAAAACTAGTGTTTATTTCTCATTGTCTCCGACGTTTGAACATTATGCAAAATTCTCACGCAAATAAATGAAGCAAGGCATCAAACGACAACACTATATTGCAACCGCATAGCGCGACGTGTTTCGACTTGAGAATACAATTAGACGCAATGAGTCAGACAGAAACACGTTAAAATCTCGTTGATTCTCGAGATAAAAAAATCGATGATTTTAAGAAATTCAAACAGTTGGCTTTAAACTGTCGATTAGGAAGCATTACATGTTTCAAAGTGCCTTTTCGCAAGTTGGTTTTTCTTCCCATTAAAATTGTGTGTTGTTAGACGTTTGGAAGGGAAGATGAAGTGTTTTTTGCTATTTTTTCTGGTGTTTACGCTATATACAACTACCGTCGAGCCACTAGATCTGGGTGATATTGGTAAATCGGCAACAGATGTGGCCAAAGGTGTCTTGGAAAAAATTCCAGATGCTATTCCAAAACCAGAGGACCTTTTCCAAGCGGGAAAAAACCTTATAGCCGGCTATCCATTCGAGCAAGTGAGTTTTTTCTACACATTGTTTGTGCTTTTCTTATGAAAATTGCGACGCTTTTCCATTCCAAACAGGTTTTCTCGGCCATCAACACATTTTGTGAGTGAAATTGAGAACAATATCGCTGTGAACTTGATGTAATCGAGCCATTTCCGTTTTTTTTTCTTCCTTCTTCTTCTCCATAGGCTCGGCAGCACTTTCAACGAAAAATGTACAGCCACGCTCGTTGCCCAACATCGGTAACATGAGCTACGTTCTTAAAACCAAAAACAAAAACATTTCCGTGCCGTTAGACTCGCCGGAAGAATTATGGTCGCTCAAGGAATTCGATCCCAAACTGCCACTCGTCATGGTCATTACGGGCTGGACGACCAATTTTAACGACACCCAAAATCCTACACTCGACAAAATCTACGACGCATATCGATGCCGAGGAAATGTTAATTTTGTGGTAATGTACAGTGGCCTAGTTTTTCACTCATTTTTCCATTGTTTTTGTTGTTTTAAATTAAATTCCCTTTTTTTGGCTATTTTCATTTTTTTTTTCTATCATTTCCACATGGTTACTTCCTTTTATTTAATTTTTCCTCATTTTTATATTTTTTTTTACATTTCTCGCTGTTTGGTGTTTTTTGATTAGACTGTCGACACAGGTTGGTTTCTTGACTTTTTTTCGTTACTGTATTTTTTTAAATTTTAGTTTGATACACGAAGTGTAGTGAATTTCATAATTTTTTAGAACTTAATTTTTTTTATTACCCTACACAGCTGGTTTCGTGGATACACTTTATTCGTGGAGCGCATTCAATACGGAGGAAATAGGAAATGTTATAGCTGAATCGTTGAAACACTTGATACAGTCGTATCCCGTCGAAAAGATTCACTTAATCGGTAGGTTTCAAACATTGTTTAAGCTTCCGTTTCAACGGTAAACCGTTGTGCGTTGCGTTTTTTTCTCTGTATCTCGTGATTTCAAGCAATTATTTCTCATTTTCCCGTTCTCTTTAAATAACAATTGCATCGTACCTAGGTCACTCGCTTGGAGCGCACAGTAAGTTTTGGTTTTTACGAAAAAAACGCCACAATATTTATAGTTCCAGTGAGATGAAATATAATGCTGTTGTTGATGTATTCTTTTTTTCTCGCTAAAAACAAATTACAGTTGCCGGTTCAGCTGGTAGAAATTTGAATTACAAAACCAATAAACTATTGCCACGAATAACCGGACTCGACCCAGCCAGTAAATATTTTCAATTTGTTTTCAATAGCAATTATTTTAGCTAATTATACAACTAGATGAGATGACTCATTTAAATTTAATCATACAATTTTTCCAGATCCATGTTTTAATCAGGGTGAAAATTTAACAGGTTTAGCGCGTGGCGATGCCGATTTTGTTATGGTAATTTTTGCGCTTGAAATTCCCTCTATTCATTAGAGGTATTTCTTGCATCAATTCTAAACAAATAATTTAAATTGAATTCTCTAGGTAATTCATTCGAATTCAGGAGCGCTGGGTAAACGTGATCCATTAGGTAAACTATGCATTTCATTTATGTTTCAAGCAATAAAATGTGAATGATCTAGAAAATGAAGTATTAAATCTTGCACGGATCATGAATCTTTTACATAGGTGATATTGACTGGTATCCAAATGGCGTGCAACCTCTTCCACCGGGTTGTTTGTCGATTTCCTGCGCACATCAACGTGCTCCAGAGTTTTACGCTGAGTCAGTTTATCCGGGCAATGAAAATAATTTTATGGGAGTGAAATGTGGTTCGTTAGCAGCATACTCGGCAAAATATTGCCCGGGCAGAGCATATCCGATGGGGTATGCGACGCCACAAAATTTGAAGGGAAACTTCTTTTTGAAAACCAATGACAAAAGTCCATTCGGTTTGAATGCGACGAAAGATTTCAAACCAGTTTGTGTTGAGAGTTATTACAGTGATAACTCGATAGGTTCAACAACGACAAGTGAAACGACATCGGTAGAATCGACAACGAGCAATGAAAGCACCACAACTGATTCAACTGTAAGCACTTCAACTGGATCAACTATTGGCAGTTTTGTGAAGAATATTTGGTCTTAGTTCGTCTTTTTTTCAATGGCATTTAAATGAGAACAAAATTGAAACGTCATACGTTTATCTATTCTTTATGCTAAAATTTGTGTAAATTTATTCGCTCAAGATACGAAAAAATAACCCATAATGCCTCATAAATTTGATAAAACTACCGAGCCAGTACTGTAATTGATGATAAAAATGTAGAATTAAGTACAGCATAGAGTTTTTTGTTTTGTTTCTGATTTGAATGTTAAATGTAATAATACGCCATATTCCACCTCTCTAATAAAAGATAATTCGCAATATATACTTTGGAAACGTTAATCTTTTATTTGAAAGCCATTCAATTAGATCCACGAGAACGAATAAATCGTAATGTAGATGTATCGTGTTGCGTTACTTCCAGCGGAATGTGCAATACAGATCTCGATTTACGTCACACGATGAACCTGAAAATGCTTCGTAGATGCTTATTTTCTCTCTCTCTCTACCAGTCTTGTCTACCTGGCAACTACCGTGCAAAATTGTGTTTGCAACTTCGTCAGATAAACGCATGGAAACATGGCGAAAAATGTGCGTAACGCACATATGGTCACCGCTTACCATTAGAATTATAATGAATGAAAAAAGCAATTATTATTTTCTCGAAGGTGCAAATTTTTGGGTTTTTTTCCGCCAAACAATTTTTGAAATTCAATTTGCAAATTCTATTGCGAGGTCGACATCTGTGCACACTATAAAAAATCCGAAAGAATTTACACGATGATACCAATCAAACTTGGATTTATATGACAAATCGTGTTAAAACGATAAAATATCGTGTAATTTCAAATACTATTACCCGATATACGCATCTGTCAAATGTTTGCGTCATTTTTAAAACATTAAGAATTACACGATATTTCATCGTTTTTACACGATTTGTCATATAAATCCAAGTTTGATTGCTCAAGAGAAAAAATACCCTTCGATTCTGCGGTGTACGTATCGCTCACGCTATGCTTTCGCTCTTTTTCTGCCTTATTCACACTTACACTATATTCGTCATACAAAACAACGGCAGAATCTAAGTGTGAATAAGGCAGAAAAAGTGCGAAAGCATAGCGTGAGCGATACGTACACCGCAGAATCGAAGGGTATTTTTTCTCTTGAGTGGTATCATCGTGTAAATTCTTACAGATTTTTTTTTGTGTGAAAAAAAAAACATCAAATGTTTATCGAAAAAAAATTTAACAAAAATTTAATCAGTTTTTTTTTGTTCTTTCATCGAATTGATGTCGACCTCGCAATGGAATTTGCAAATTAAATTTCAAAAATTGTTGTATCATCGTGTAGATTCTTACAGATATTTTTTTAGTGTGTGTCGAAATTGAGTTTTGCCGTTATAAATGGAAGAGTTCATCTGAACTTGAGCAACATTCCCAGTTAGTCATACCAACGGGGTTGATTGAAGAAAATTTCCCAGTTTTTTCCTCGGTTTTCAGCTAACCTAACGTTGTGCGAGTATATTTGCGTGTTCCAGCAGCGTATCAATTAATCAACTACGTACGGTTCAAGTGTCGATTGATTTTAATTTGGCCAGATAATTGGTTCGGTGAAAGCATTTCTTTCCGCACAAGATGCGATTGTTAGTTTACTGTTTAATCGGGCTTTTATTCATATCGCATGACGGATATTGCGTGCCATCCAGATTGTTCGATTTGGTTGGGGAGTTGGTGGATGCAACAAAAGGTGCTTTGGGTTCGATACCATCGTTGATACCAACACCAGAAGAATTTTTCTCTCTAAGCAAAAATACATTCATTGGATTACCCAACCAAGTGGTTTTTGCATTTTTCAATCAGTTTTGTAAGTAAACGTAATTTTTCTTTTCTCTCGCCCTCCTTCTTACTCTCTCAGATGCATAGAAATGCCATGCAAATTTCGTTCTAATTTTAGGCAACATGGCACTTAATTCAAATTCCGTGTTCGTGAAAAAAAAGTTTACACCAAAATTGGATGAAATGTCGTTCATTTTGCATTCGAAAAGCAGCAGTATATCAATCCCATTGATGAAACCGGACGAAATGTGGAAACACCCGGAATTTAATACAAGCAATCCACTAGTCATTTTTGTAACGGGTTGGAAGACCAATTTGAAGGAAGAAGCATCACAAGCTCAAAATGTAATGGCCGCTGCATATATGTGTCGTGGCAATGTAAATTTTGTGGTAAGAATAAGTTCAAACATTTCATTTGTGAACCGATTTTCACAGCAATATAAATATGTATTCGTTTTTTATATTCCTTTGAATTAGACCCTCGATACAGGTTTGATTTCATGTTAATGAACTAATTTTTGCAATACCGAAAACGAAATGAGAACCTTTTATGCTCTACTAGCCGCCTTCATTGATACGCTATACACATGGTCGGCGTTCAATACCCAAACGATTGGAGAGTACCTAAGTAAAGCGGTACAGAAATTGGTTGAATCGTCATTTCCACTTGAGTTCATTCATCTGATGGGTCATTCATTAGGAGCTCAGATTTGGTAAGGGAGTATTATCGATTTCTTGTGATTTTTTTCATTTAAATGTTGGATATATGCGTGTACGAAACAAAAAGTGGCGCAGCGGGTCGGCATTTTAATCAAAACACACAGCTTTTGATTGCTCGAATCACTGGTTTGTATGAAAATGATAAACATTCAAATACCATAAATAAATTTGAGTTTACGAGCATAAAACAACTTAAAACCTCCAGGCTTAGACTCAGCAAACCCGTGCTTTAACAACGGAGGAGTTCTCGAAGGTCTTTTTCGCGGAGATGCTGCTTTCGTCGATGTGATCCACACAAATCCGGGTGTCTTGGGTAAGAAAGAGGCAATTGGAGATATTGACTTTTTCTGTAACGGTGTTTCACCGCTGCAACCAGGCAGCTTTGATGTATCATCTTCGCATGGTCGTGCTTGGAAGTACTACGCAGAGTCCGTTTACCCAGGTAACGAGAATAACTTTTTGGCGCGTGAGTGCACGTCAATTACAGCTCTCAACAACAATAATTGTCTTGGTCCACTGATTCCAATGGGGTACGCTACACCCAACACAACGAAGGGAAACTATTTTTTGAATACCAACTCAAAAAGTCCATATGGTGAACACTCTCGTCGGGACCACCAACCCGTTTGTGTTTAATTAGGACACGGTTACATACACATCAGCATGGCTGCCACTTATAGCATAAAATAACAGAATTTATTATGTGGAAAGCTTTCGGATCGATAGCGCTAATGAGTTTAACGCCTTTTGGATTCTTAATAAAGTGTGATAAGACCGCTTACGGATTATAAATGTTTGATTTTTGCCTTTTAATTCTATCTCATTCTCATTTTTTGCTGCTGCTGATGAAGAACTCATGAGGAAACACTATAGTCATTTAGTAAATGTCTTGCCTTCAATAGTGGGTAATTATAGACTTTGCTGCGTTATTTTCATCCAGCAAAGTATAGCTATAGCTCGGTGATGGTAATGCTCGGATGTGCCCGAATCCACTTATCGTTGTCAATGCATATCATGGGTGATTTTTCCTCCGGGTCGTCGACAGAGGTATACAGATATTGCAATTCCATTTTGCATGTAAATAGATACGTACGTACGCTCGATAGAGTGCTCAATGAACATATATACGCATAAATGACATGAACAGTCGGGGATTTGTTGGAGCATCATCATTGAATCATTTTCAATATCGTGGTGATAAAGTACGTCATTGCATGACACCTGAAATGTATTTATCAGTTTAATGCGGGCAGAGCAAAGTAGAGAAAAAATGCGAACGAAACGTGTTTGAATATTTGCTTGAAGCTTTTACATTACACACTTGTACCATGTCTTTTTATACTATGTGAAGGTTGCACAAGCAAGCGAGCAAGCGAACGAAGGAGAGAGTACTTCAGATACAAAGACTTCCGTTCACATTCGATAAGCTTCAGAATCCGAAAGCAATGGCAAGAGAAAGATGATGAAAAAGTTTTTTTCCACTAGCTCTTCACATCGCTTTTTTCCCTGATGATGGAAAATTAAACAATGTTTGAATATATATAGCAGGAGTAAAAGTGTCAACAAAGAAATTAAGCGTCTGTAGAAAGTTTCTTTTTTATGCACGATTACAATTCAAATTGGGAACGGATCAAATTGCATGATACTCACATTCTGGCTCTCTCTCTCACTCACCCGCTCTCATTTGCTTGCTCTCTTCCTTTCTCAACCCACTCTGTGTCCATTCTTGACTGCTCTTTCGATCTCAATTTTCGTATTTGTATGTTGAAAGCAAAAAAAGAAAGTTTCAATGACACATTTCGCATGCAATATGCCAATGTTTCCAAAACTGGCTTCATTTCGTCCTCACATATTATGGAAATGGATGTTATCTCATTGCTAAAAATATTAAATTTTCCATCAGATGGACCGTTTTTTTCTTTCTTCGCCTTTTTCTCCATCTTTTCACCTTCATCCAAAATGCAGACTACCTCTTTCTGTTTCCATTTTCAAACTACATCAACCGAATAACAGATCGCAAAACTCGAATAAGGCCATTTTATTCAACAACATTATCGAGTATTTTTTTTATTTTCAGCATGTCAAATTTGATTCGAGATTGTAACATCTTTGTTTTCTCAATTTTGATGCAGCAATCCTTTTGAACCGTCATTTTTCTCGGATTTTCATTTTACGACGATTATTTTCCCTTTTCTTCGACTTTATCTACCTCTTTGTTGGTTGCCAAAGGTGATATCGTTACCGACAAACGATGACACATGAGACGAAATAATTTTCTCAAACAATTTTCATGTTATTTCTCGAAATAAACACGATAACAATGAAATGTTCATATGAATCTATGGTGTCACAATCCAACAATCTCGTCGACATATAGAGCTCAAACTGATGTTGATTCCACATAATTTCATCTATGTCTTTTATTCGTTGTTATTTGTCAGAGCTTTTGTGTATTTATTTTCCGTTTTGTTCATGATTTCCGTCATTTATTTGTTTTGTTTTCACATACAATATATATATGCCATTTACCCTACCCGTGTACGTAGCATGAGCCATGATTGCCTCATATACATTCCAATTATGATGGAAGTTTTGTGACAGGCCGACAAAAATGAATTTTGATGACTTGAGATAAATATATGTTGAACTTCTGTCAACGACATCAAAAATGTAGTAAATTGAACATATATGTGTCTGGCTCATTCACGTCACTCACAACAAGCTTTTTCATGTGGTTTATTGCTCCTCTGTGGCCAAATAACAAGTATATCAATTGCAAAATTACATATGTTCACATCACTTTGACCAAATAGTCCTCACCTCTCTTCTGACTCTCCCTCTCTCACACACTTTCACCCGGTTGGAACGGTTCGCCGATTTTCAACGACCCTCAGTCTCCACTTCTTGTGTTTATATTCCTTTGTGATTTGTGTGCTCGTTATGGCAAACATCTCCATGTGACGAGAATGCAATTATGAGGCCGAAATGTAATTTATTTCAATGGTTTTATGGCGGCAGTAGATCAACATTCACTCTCAGCCACTTTTGCTCATATTTTATGCATTGCCATTCGTGCCGTATGAAATTTCCAGGAATGTTAGTAAATTTGATGCGCGTGTACCATGCACGAATGCGAGCATCTACCTTTCGCAACTTACCGAACCCATGGAATGCAAAAGCGAATTGAGCTTCATTTTCGTCGGAAATTGATAGTAAAAAATCAACTTTTCTGTTTTCGAACAAAATGTCAAAAGTTTTATCAATTTTGTTGCATTGTGTGTCGAGAGAACGAGCGAGCGTACATTGAGTTTGACATCGCAATTGTGGATTGAATTAATGTTTGAAATTGTACAGTATACGGAAAAGAACGACAGATGTAATATCGATATCACAGCGATAAGATAGTCCAAAATGCGAAAACTACACAATGCAATTGTAACAATGCATCCCCAAAGTCGAATAACTTTCTTGGTTTCAACAATCGAAACAAAGTAGTAAAACAATTTGCATAGCAAGTCGGTCGGTACTGTATGTGATCTGTGATGCGTATGCAACATTTTGTGGCTTTGTTCGTTGGTTTCATGTGTTAACGCTCTCTTAATCTCTATCTCGTTCTCGGTTTTGGGTCAAGAACTTTATCTTCGAATTAAACGAATTATTATATCACAAAGTGATATCTTCAGTCTTTAGTGTGTCATTGCAAGTTTCTGCGCTTGCACTGTAAACTACAACGCAAATTATGATAACCGATTTTGTGCGCTGCACACACTCATACGATAAACCACTTGAAAATGCACACCGCATATCTGTGTTTGCTGAAAAACTAATGCAATTGATATTGATAAGTGTGTCTCGGGCACGAATGCGTCCGCACACAAACACACATCCACACATAATTGTGTTATCAGTTTTAGTTGATGATATTAAATTGGACTAATAGTTTGTGGATCGCGAATTTTATCGCGTTTGAACCGGTCTTGCATGCCAATTGCATTCGTCCAATCGACAATTCAGTGTGATTGATAATTCCAATAATCATTGGTTTTCGTTTCGACACGGCTTCGAGACCGCTGCAAACTTTGCCAAAAATTTTTACCATATGCAAATGTGACGCGCAATTTTTTTCCCATTGGTATTTTTAATCAGATGCGGTTGACAGGTGTACGATGAATTTTTAATTAAAACTGTTACCGATAAAATTATTTTTCTTTTATTTTTGTGTGCTGCTACGTATTGTTGGTGGTGATTTGTGTGATATGATTCGCACAGATGTAATGTTTCCTGACAAAATTGAGAAGAACAGAGCGATGGAGAGGAAAAGAGAGAGGGAGAGAGATCGCACCAGTAATCGACTCTTGTTCTCTTGACTACGTGACAAATTGGACAAATGAAATGTGTTCAATGGGATGCTTGTGTGTGTGTACGGTGAGAATGAGCTGAAAATTCCAATCATTTTAACATAAATAACTGGCAAAACAAAGCTTCAATAGAATTTTATTCAAGGCAACAGCAGCAGCATCAGCAGCAGGAGCACTAGTAGCAGCAGACAACAACAGCAGTCACAGCAATGTGAAAACCCCCAACTATGGTGCAGATGTTATCTCTTCATAAATGGCGCAGTTTGTATCCCTTTGTACCGTATGTTTATATCGCTCGACCGATTCAAGAAGTGGTACATGCCATTTTGCGTCGCATTGCCTTTGAATGGCTCAAAGAATGTGATGTGTCAATTTGGATGAATTGGACAACAATATTTTACATGAATATTTGAGAAGAAAAAAAAAACAGTGTATGTGAGCGATTGTGTGTGGGCGATCCGTGTAAAGCAGAGAGAGGGCAATTCCACATACTCAAGTACTTCCTTAAAACACGGGTCGATCGACAAAGACGCAAATAAATGCACTAAATTACGGAAATTGAATTGATTCTCTCTCTGGTTTAGTCGTATTTAGTTAGCTAGTGTACAGTGATTGACAGCCAGCAAACAGACGTAGTGGTTTTTCCTATTTGGAATCAACTTCATTCAACCGCACTTTTTGCACCATACACAATATATATTCACTTACATTCAGTGTATAGTCTCACACTTATTTATCGGAAAATATTTTACGATATTGCTTGCCTAGTATGCGACAAGCAATCCCAAGTTTACACACACACATATTTGTCCGTAATAAATTGAATTCCTTGCCATTAAGATGATTTGCCCGATATTATCCTGCACACACTGTGTGTGCTGGGTGCTCCGTGTTGCGCACCGCTGTGCGGCTCAATTGGAATTTATAGCTTGGAACCGGGTTTTTTTTTCTCCTCTGCTGAAACCGTTTTAAATTAAATATGTATGATGTTCAAACGACCCATAAATCGTTTAATAGAATTTAAAAAAAAATGTTTAAACAAGGGAAAACATGCTGGTTGCACTCACAAAAATACACATATCGAACAAGTGAATCACTCACACATGATATTTCTTGCTGAAAATAATCACCGATACATCTTTGTTCGCCTTTGACTTTAGCAAAAAAAAGGCGAAACCTTGCCCATCCACACACGCACAAACACACGTGCTCGCATGAAGTGAATTCATTTTTATGTTTCCCCTGACCGATGTGTGGAAAAATTGGCTGGTGCCGATAAAGCTTTTGTTCGAATTCGCGTGCCTAAATGTGATCAATGTGAGCACTAATCAAATTTATTTGGTTTTAATATATTGGAAGGTGCGACACATACACATATCCGTACACAAAGCCTATCATTCATTGCATTTGCTAGCGGCTCGGTTCGATATTTCT